GGTAGAAAACGGGTTTGACGTCGCGCCAAGCCATCTCACCGGGTGTACTTCTTCATTTGCAGCGACTATGATTGTAATTTGTCTCGCTTTACCTTGTCTTGAAAGTTCAAGCCTTATATGCTAGTTGATAAGGCGATGGCCTTCCCAGTGTGTGACTCCTTGAAATGGAGAATTTACTCGATCAGAAACCCATCCAACCTGTTGAATTCCATCTTGTGTGCAAGGTGACACCAGCCATCCACAGTTGCGGCTGAACTGTTTCACACAGGTCGATCAGCCCAGGCCACCGCAAGAAGCCTCAACAGAGATGGCAAGTGGCCAGCGACTGCCGATGCTAGTGCATATCATGAGAATGAAATCCTCTCTCGTGTTCAAAATGACTGTCACGCGAAAGGATGCGAATAAGAAAATATTTATGCGAAATTTCCGTTTCTACTGCAAAGGAGGTGCAGAGAATTTCAGTTCATTGCTTCTCGTAGAGGACAGACAACCTTCGTTTTCTCTCCGATTCCACAGCGTTGCATCCATACTTCGTGCCTGCAGGAAGATTGCGTACCTGAAAAGAATCCATGTGATAAAATTCGTCCAAGATCAAAAATTCTGTATTTGTGTGTTTCATTTCTGGCGGGCTGTCTCAGCTAGGGGGAAGAAGCTCCATTGCTATGCCATTCCCCCAATTGTAGAAGAAACGCTAATCTGTGATATAATGACGATCTGTATTACTCACCACGTTGACTTGTGCTTCATTCTTGAATGCATTGAAGAGAGTACTTCGTATTTTGCTCGATCTCACTGGGGATGTGGAGAATGTCCTTAAACACCTATTATTGAAGAGAACATGAGGGTGAACATAGTAGCGGGCAGATACGAACTTTTCTGCCGTGAGCTTGTCAAAGCCATGTGAGCCTAATTCACCGATAGCTTCCTTGCAAGCCCGCTCGGAAAGATCTTCGTCCCATACCTGCAATCAGCAATCACCTCAGAGCCAAGAATCTCGGCTGTAAGAGGCTACGTCGATAGAACTAGGAGAGAAAAGGTCTCCAGCATCCATGGAACCACCATGTGTCGGTAAGGTAGAAAAAAGGCCTCCAGCAACCATGCAATCTTTGACGTACGGCATGCACCTGAAGAATACTTACCAGGTTTTTGTTTAGGTTGTAGTGGAAGTTCGAGTACAAGCGCTCCTGGTAGTAGTCTGGCACGCAATCTAAAAGCGTTACTGATTTCTTATGAATAAGCGGGCCCTTGTTCGGCCTTTGCGAGGGCATTTTACACTTTCACTCTTGTTACTTCATGTCGACCGATAGGTTTCACTTTGGTTGAACTTGTAAATCCCAGTGAAGCTGCGAAATTGTGAGAGTGAGCCACATTGGTCACAGGGAAGTTTAACAAGGTACTGCACAAGGTGGCCTGCACAAGCCTTAGCCGATGTTTTGGAGCCTTCCCCTCCTAAGCCGAGCTGCGAAACCGATGAGGCGTGTGACCTCAAGTACCGCACAAGTATAACAAAAAGCACTTACAGTCTCCATAGACGTTCATGAAGAAAATGCACAAAATTGTGAGAGCAAGCAGCATTTTGTTGCGATGATTTTCCGTCACAGCGCATCCCTTTTATAGGTGCTCTTCCTTTTATAGGTGCCATCAAGCCAAAGTTTTTTCTGGCAATTCCCTGGAAACCCATTTCAAACGTTTCTGTCATTGTATTCCTTTTTTATTCTCATGCTGCGAATACGCCTGTATTTGTGGATGTGCTTTTCCATGAAATCGATCAAGAAGATAGTTCGTTGTGTCGCAATGTGCTCGTTGGTGCGATCTGATTGAAGCGCCAGATAAACATTCTTACTGGAATACTGTACACCTCGGGGGGGGCAGAAAAAAGACATTTTTCTTCCTTCACTTTCGCAGGCAGCTGTAAGTTACAACATTGAAGAATCTCTGATTTCGTCGCCTTTCTACTCACCATATCTAAAGCAGCATATTTAAATACTATCATAATTGTAGAACAGATGATTTCGAAGCTCTTGCATCAAATTCTTTATTGGTGAGCTTTCGGCGATAACGCCGTCATCAGACCTTCAAATTACAATACATTACCGGCCTACAGCTACAACATACATCAACATTAGCATTAAAACCTACCAAGGGTGGGAGGTGGTGGAAGGGTCGTGAAACCGTGCCGGTGCGGCAGATACGTTGCGTATAAATGTGGAAGAACTGCACCCTCAGCAGCCTCTCAAGACACTGGGTCCCTGTCTAATGTCCACATGTTATCACGCAATCAGTCTTTAGGAGGTCACGTAGCTCCTCCCTTGCGTTGATTTCCGGCTTAATGCGGTGGATTTCCCGCGCTTCCATGATTTTTCTCTCGAGCGGTCGTACCAGATGTCTGTGGAGAACACTCACATCGAAGGACGGTGGGTTCTCATCCTCATGTTTAAGAGTACGATGCTTGGAGAACGCGTTGTGTGGGTAGGCAGCGGGATTGGCCAGTGCTCTTCTGTGTTCGTCCAAACGAATCTTCAGCGGTCTTCCAGTCTCTCCCACGTACTTTTCTCCACAACCTCTACATCGGATTGAATACACAGTGCCTTTGAGTTCACAGATCTTCTCAGATGAACAGTATCGACATGACTGTTCGTGACACCGATGTTCGTAGATCCGGGAAGAAGTAAGGAGGTCCTGAGTGTGGGGGGAGGGCGGAAGACGAGTCGGATGGGAAGCCTGGAATTCTTTACCACGCGGTTCACTTCACGTGCCATTTTGTCGTTCACAAAAGGCAATGTGAGAGTGACCCCGTCTGGTGATCTATGTGGAACCCATGTTTTGAAATTCCCTTCGAAATATCCGTTGCTTGCAAGGATATTTTTGATCTGTGCGTCTACGGATGGGTCCCTTCGTGTTCCAAGTTTCTCCTTCGTTCTGATAAGATTCCGTGCGACATTCGCCTTCATATAAATCGGATGAGCACTCCTGGAATGCAACAAGATGTTAGAAGAGGCCTTTTTCTTGTACCAAAGGTGTTCCTTGTAGCCCTCACGTATACGGACTTTTGTATTGAGGAACCCGGTAAAAAAAATTCCTATCCGCTCCTGGGTCTTCTTTGGTGAAGGCTATGTTAGCATCGTGTGAATTCAGTCTCTCCAGGGTTCTCACAAGATCTTCCTCTGTTATCGCGATAACAAACACGTCATCAATGTAGCGTTTGTAGTATATAATTCCACTTGTCAATGATGACTTCTCGATGTGATCCAAGAAGATGACTGCAAGCACAGGTGCTATACGGTTGCCCATGGCAAGACCTCGTTTTTGCTTGTAAAAGGTGTTGTCAAAGCAAAAACAATGTTGATTCCAGGTGCCTGCCCTTCGATAAGCTCCTTCACTTCGCTTGTGGAGAATCCCATTAACGAGATGTGATCTTGATTCTCTTCGAGAAGGGATAGGACAGCTTGAACTGCGTCCACATTGTTCACATTTTGTGTAAATGGACACAACATCGAAGCTAGCGTAGAAGGCTCCTGTCGGCACACGGGACATTGGTGAAGTGACGCAATAAACTCATTGACGTTGACAATGTGCGCCCCCACATATCGCAGGAGTGGCGAAAGAAGTTGAACTAGTAGCCAACTTAGCCCGTCTGCTGGGCCGCCACATGATGCGATTATCGGTCTTGTTTTGATCTCAGTCAATGGAAGCGACATTGTGTTTCCTACTGGAAGTTTAGTTTAGAAATTACAATACAATGTTTTTAGAAAGTTTAGAATTACAATACATTACCGGCCCGCTGTAGGCCGGTAATGTATTGTAATTTGAAGGTCTGATGACGGCGTTATCGCCGAAAGCTCACCAATAAAGAATTTGATGCAAGAGCTTCGAAATCATCTGTTCTACAATTATCCATGAAGCTCAGAGATAGCAGTATTTCTACACTATCATGATACTCCGCCACGCTTGGAGGAGCGGCCCTCGAGAGATTCTGCAACGCGGACCCCGCTGACTCGCGTGCCGAGTTCGCCAAGATAGTTGATTTCTCCGCCACTGTAATCACTCCGCCCAAACCGAGTAACGCGAGGGAGTTTACGGTCAGCGTGACTCTACTTGGATATTCTATCTCCTTTAGGTTCTGGATGCCCTTTCACTCTAAGCAGGCGAGAGTTTTCCCAACGCTTCTCGATTCCATGTGGTGTCACCCAACCCTGTAGCAGTACAAAGTTTTCCAAGAAGGAGGATATTCTTCTCGAGCTGCTCGATCTAACCGCCAGCGCTCACCTTCAGTGCGGGGTCCACGAAGAAAAACGGTCTTCCAGGTACATCCGGTCCTTACCATCAACCCCTGCCTTTGCGTGACTGTGCAGTTGAAGATCATCCTAGGACGTAGCGGCATTGGCGGAGCTGCTCGATTGCATGGCAGGTCTCCCAGATCGACGAGAGTAACTGCTCTCCGGTAGCTGTCCATGTGATGACTCATACTAGAAATTTCGCCAGCCTGCTTTTGGAGTGGTGACATTGAATCCCAAGGGTCTTCTCCAGGTTATACTGGAGAAGACCTAAGGAATTCATGTTACAGCCACGTTGCGGACTGGAGATGACTTCATATTTTGGTGTACATGAAGTGATGGGTGAGAGCCAGCTCCTGCTTATCGAGGAACATCTTGGGTATCTTCACCCTGGTAAACTCGCTAGGTCAGCGTACCTCTCTTCTGGACTGCGAAAAAATAGTGCACTATATTAAAGTCGGTCGGAATGCTATTTTTTGTCTGCCTCTGGCTGTGTCTCCGAGCAGGGCGGAATGTGTGCTGCCGTACTGGGTACGCATGACGGAAGACTGCGTATGTGCTTAAAATATTCCGTTTTCGAAGGGCAGCTGTCATACGTTGTTTTGCTGCGCCTAAAGACATGACTAAAGCTCACCCAAATTATATACACTAATGACAGCGCCCATCCCTAGCATTTTGGTTGATGGTGAGGAAAACCATCGCGCCCAACTGCCTTTAAAGTATTTGCGGAAGCCACGCCCTCCCCATTTCTAGATGTGCAGGGTGTGAGCTGCAGCATCTCTTTCTGACTTGAATGCAGTGTAAGAGTACGTGCAAGCAGCCTCGTCGGGTAAGCGACCGTAGAACCACGCGGCGTCGCGCGCGACGATACAATACCGTATTCACTACGATGGGCGCGCACTCGCGACGGCACTATTATCGCGACAGTGACGCTTCGCTGCCATTCCTTCAACAGGATAATCCGTCTTACCTCAACAGCAGCCCATTGTACAGTGTTTGAGAGCATGCTGCACAGAAATCACTGCGAAAGTGATTGCTGATTTTCTCTGCGCCGTAATTGCTATGTATTCACTTTCGTTACAGAAATAAAACAAAACTACCGGGCCATGACAATCCAGGTCCTACCAGAGCAAACAGCGTGGCTGAAAACTGAAGCGAATACAAACTAATTCACTGTGGCAATGAATTTACGAGCGCTCGCTTCATTGCAAATCTGATCTTAGCAGATGGCCACGCAAGCAACCTCGCGCGGTCCTATAACCGTCTCCTTTTGCAGCCGCTCTAACATTGCAGTAACACCTCATACGACCATGCAACGTTTCTGAGAAGCATTAAAGGCAGTTGGCACGATAATTTGGTACTCAGCCTGAAATGCTAGCAGGGCGCTATCTAGTGGGAAAATGGCGAAAAACGAAGTGAAACGGTCAAAAACTGCGAAGCCTTCGTTCTTGAAAAGCAATTTCGGACGAGTTTCCCGTAGGCGTATTGCAAATAACCGCTCCGGCAGGTACGGCTTCATGTATGTACTCATATATCCATTCAGCACCGCAGCCGCTTCATACTAATCCCTTCGCTTTATGTTTTACTTAGCAAATGAAGCAAAACGAGCATCTGGTAAGGTCGTCCATTTGTGGGCGGGGG